GAAACTCTGAATGCCATAAAATAAATTTCTCAAGATTGTTTTAAGTAAGTTAAAAGAAATAAACTGTCTTCTTTTATGGAATATTTTTTTGAGGGGACATTTACTTTATTCCCCATTTGTTTCCTTTTGAATAATTTACTGAATTTAAGATAAGAGCATTTCTGCATATAAAAAGTTGTCTTGTGTGGAAAGTATGCATGGAATTAACAGTATGGGATACAATGAGGGTGGGAGAGAAGTCTGGTTTTCTTCTGGGCTTCCCTTTAATGCACTCCAAATATGGATTGGGTATTTTGTCAGGGAGATGGCTAGGAAGAAATGGAGATTATAAGACAGAGAGAGTTTCTTAAATATTGAGGACTTCTGTTTATTATTGAATGATCTTTGGTGATTTTGTATCTTTGGGTGATTTTATATCCAGTGTTTGGTTTGGTCTTATTAAAGATCATAGAAAAATCATATCATTTCAGAGGTGAAAGATGTTTTACAGTAATCTAGTCAGGTGATTTTGTTTGATTTTATTTTAAGCTTTTTGCCCCATGGGTAGAACCTTAAATAAAATGAGTGGAAGTGAGGCTGTTCCATGTGAAATCAGGAAGGAGGATCCTGTACCCTGGCTCACTTGGCCTTTGCCCTCTGCACAGGCCACAGTTCCTGGGTTTGAAAACTGCCATTGCTGATCAAACTTTAGTTTTATAAAGAATGCGAATTTGGGAGAAGTGACTTGTGTAGGGCCATATGCCAGTTAGTGATTGACATGGGGCTGCAACTCAGATCTTAAGCTTGGAGGCAAAGATTTTAAACAGGGCTGAAAAAAGATCAGGTTTACATATCTTAAAAGATTGAACTAGGGCAGGAGGGGCTGAGACTGGCACCTGCAAGATCAGTAGGAGACTACCTGATAATGAGGTCCTGAACCCAGGCACTGGAAAGAAAGGCTATGATTAAGATAGGTTTGATAAGACTTGGTCACCTCTAGAAGTGGGAAGAACATGGAAGGCCAAGGCAGGAGAATTGCTTGAGCCCAGGAGTTCAAGTCCAGCCCTGGCAACTTAGTGAGACCCCGCTGTCTCTACAAAAAAGAAAAAAAGAAAAAAAAAAGCTGGGTGTGGTGGCATGCACTTGTAGTCCTAGCTGCTCTAGAGGCTGAGGTGGGAGGATTGACTGTGCCTGGGAGTTCAAGGCTGCAGTGAGCCCTGATTGTGCCACTGCACTCCAGGCTGGGTGACAGAGTGAGAACCTCAACAACAACAACGACAAAAAGTGGAGAGAGCAGCAAAGGAAAGGGAGGAGTGGGGTGATCTCCACATTTCTGGTTTGCTAATGGAGTACAAGGTGAGCTAGAGAACTCAGCTCATTTTGGGGCAAGTTGATTTGGGGATGTCTATGTGACTTTCATTATGAGAAGCCTGATTTTCTGGTGGGATGTGGTTGGCGTAGGTATGGAAGTCTTGGGAGAATAAGACAAAGTATTAGATCATCAGCATTCAAATAGCAGGCAAAGGAGATGAAGAGACCTTCAGAGTGGAATGAGAACCAAAGAGAGTAAGTCTTGGGTCAGTAAAGTCAGGAAAACGGAGAGAGTTTCACCAGTGCCGGATATTTCATAAAGTTCAATGAAAGTGAAGAAGGAATC